TCAGGTCCGTCCAAGTGGAAAATTTAAACTCTGTTTAAAATTTTTTCTACTAAAACTCAATTATAAAATTATGAACATGACCAAATCATTTACTGAGTCATTATTCATTAATCAGTCTAAATAACTCTCTTCTAAATGTCTTTTAATAATCATGTCCCACTGAATCACAAAGTTATCCTCAGAATTTTTTGTTCTTTTTTAAAATATTTCGGAGGGAGGGAAGTAATTAGGTTTATTTATTTGTGTGTTTGTTTAATAGAGGTACTGGGGATTGAACCCAGGACCTCGGGCATGGTAGGCATGCACTTTACCACTGAGCTATACCCTCCCCCTCCTCAGAATTTTTTTCAGTGCTGCCTTCACTTCCTTATTTCTCAGAGTATAGATAAGTGGGTTAAGTATGGGGGTCACCACAGTGTAGAAGAGGGACACAAACTTACCCTGGTCCTTGGATCTCCTCTTGGCTGGCTGCAGATACATGAAGATAATGGTTCCATAGAAGACGATCACCACCGTCAGGTGGGAGGAGCAGGTTCCAAATGCTTTACGTCATCCAATGGCTGACTTTATCTTTAGAACTGCTTGGGTGATGTGCCCATAGGATATCAGGATGAGCGACAAGGGCACCACCAGGAATAAGACGCTAGCCACAAAGAGCTCTGCCTGGTTGAAGGTGGTGTCCACACAAGCCAACTTGATGAGCACAGGAACCTCACAGAAGAAATGATCCACAAGGCGATGCCCACAGAAGGGCAGCTGCAGCATGAGAGTAGACTGTATCAGGGCGGTTGCCAGACCACTGAGCCACGCCATAGATGCCAGGATGTGACAGAGCCGAGGGTGCATGACAGAGGCGTAATGCAGAGGACGACAGACTGCGACATAGCGATCGTAGGACATCACAGCCAAAAGGACACACTCTGTGGATCCCAGGGCAAGGGAGACGTAGAGCTGAACCACACAGCCTCCATACGTGGTAGACTTATCTGGACCCCCCAGGTTGACCAGAAGCTGAGGAATAATACTGCTGGTGACGCAAAGGTCCAGTAATGAGAGATGGGAGAGGGAAAAGTACATGGGATTGTGGAGTTTAGAGTCCAAGACGGATACTAGGATGATGGCAGCATTGCCGAGGAGTGTCATGAGGTAAAGGGACATGATTACCCCAAAGAGAACCAGCTCCAACTGAGGTCGGTCAGAAAAACCTACCAGAATGAACCCAGAGAAGGTGCTGTCATTAGTCCACGGCATTACTCTCACTTTGATTACTCACTCCAGAGTGATTAAATCACATTAAACAGAAACTTCAAGGATTTTTATGTCAATTCCCTGGCAGTTAAGATCTGGATGTTGAGAAGTAAGTTTGTAAACAGTTAAAGAGAAAAGGTCAAAGCAGAGAATCCTGGTGTGTGATATCGTTGATTATCTCATGAAGTGGCATTCCTGTTCTCATTGATCATATGTTTTCCATCTACCTTGAGGATGAAATAAAAGCTAAAATGCATTAACGCTGAGATTTTTCACACCTTTTCCTCAATATAATTTTTTATATAAAGGTAATGGAATTTCACAGGAAATACAGGAATTACAAACACCATAGTACATTCTCACAGTCTACCAAATGGATACATAAATAAGGCAGGAACATGATAAAACATGTGAGAGTATGCATCTTATGATCAGTGTAAGAGGTTCACTGTGAGGATGCAGAGTTGGGAGAGGAATCTATAGAGGAGAAGGTCTGGATTGTATTCACCTTGCTCTTAAAGAGATGAGAAGGAGAGCAATCCAAGACCAAAGAATTTCCTGATAGTAAGAAACAAATATAGAAATGGAGAGTACATGGTAGGGTTTTATTTGAAAAAGGAAAAAGAAACTAAATTGGAAGCATGATTATTTCATATATTAACTATGCCACATAACAGGATACGATACTTATAAGGTAAATTTGAGTCACTTCTTTAAGGAATACAAACATCCGTAGATATCATTTGGATAGCATAGGCCTTGTAGGAGGGTTTTGGTTTTGTTTGAATTTTCCTTTTCAAGATAAATATGCCTGCACAGTATAGAATAATTTAAAACCAAAGAAACTCTAGTCCAGAAACTCTGTACACAGCCAATGCAAAGTGGACAATCACAATTAGAGACTGAATGCAATATCAATAGAATGCAAGAAATGCTGCAGAGGGCTCAGTGAAAATCATTAACATTTAACTCCCAACAGGATATTGAGACAACAAACAGGAAGAAGCTAAGATTATTGAAGTTTTACATATGATGAAATAAGGAGATTAAGTAGTTAAAAACCGTGTGCATCCATTTAGTTCCAAGTCAGCTGAAGCCGGGAAGAATCAGACTGATCATTTCTACAACTGAGAACCATTGTTTCGACATTCTTCTTGTCTTTAGGACTTTAACCCAGAGTCCCACTCAATCTGTGACACATTAACACTAGCTACTCATTTGACACCATACACAATTTACAGTATCTAATGTCCCACATGCAGGTGCCAGAAAGAAGAGTTGCCCAGCTTAGATTTACGTTCCTTCCTCTGCAGGAGACTGCATGGGCATCACTGTGCTCAACTAAGACTAACTGCACGATTAATACTGTCACATATAGTCCCTGAGTTAACGAGTTCCCTTGTGATGTGATTAACTCCAGGGATTCTGGGCAACAGGAGCCAGCAACAAAGGGCAAACAAATTAACACTGGAGGACAAAAATGGGGCCGGGGAGGTCAAGCAGCTGGCCTGCTGGCCACAGAGCCAAGTGCAATGAAAATTAAAGTTCCACTATTGGGGACCTCTTCCAATTGAATTTTGTGATTTTCTTTCCACTTCTCCTGCCCTTTTCTCTTGACTTTATGTATATGGCGTGGTTGCGGGGGTAGGAAAGAGAGAAATTGTTATAATTACACAAACACAAAAATACACTACGTGAGAATAAAAATATTTTGCAACTTAGAGCAGAGGACACTGTTCAGCAGGTAGATGCCTGAATACCTGGAGGGATCCTCAACAGGAGGAAACCACATGTTCTCAACGAATCTTTTTTTCCTCAGTTATAGGGAGCACAGAGGATATGGGCCCAAGGGTAAAGAAACTGCTTTTCTGACAATCTTGCCATCCACCCCTAATATATGACACAAAGAAAGATTAAACAGAAAGACATATACAACAAAAATGAAATAAAAATAGCTGATAAAAAATAATGATGCCAGTCCTACAGTTTATGGAACTAAGTTAAGAAATAGACTTTCCTAGAATCAAAAATTGATGCCTCAAAATTCTGCTACTGAAAACTACCATAGGCAATCTGGAAAAAAAATGCTCCTTGACTTTTTTATGGCTTTTTATTGATGTAAATGATTGCTAAATGGCAAAAACACAGAAAGTATAGCCCCCCTGGATGTGTTCTAGAAATTTAAAATATATGCTAATATTTCAGTACAGTGTTCCATATTGAGGATAAATGCTAATGATTTTTACAGACTAGTGAGAAAAGTCAGTAGGACACATGGAATATACTGCTTCTTCCATTTGGGAGAGCAAATGCAGAGACAGTGAGGAAGTCAGATGATCCCCAACCCCATTATAAAGTTTAGGACACAATGACCCAAAGAAATGGTTTATGGAAAAGTAATTCAGCGTCTTTGAACCACATTATGAACCATATGTGACAAAACGTAGTAGTTAAAGCTCTTGGATAACTGACATTCAAAATAAACCCACTTTGACTACTTAACGATCTTAGAAATAGCTGAAGGTAGCAATTAGAAACCTTACAGCACACACAAGTGGCATGCAGCCTTTTTGCAGATTCACAACAAACATTATCATATTATACAACGTGGGAAACTAGGGAGTGGGGAAAAAAAATCCCTCTCGTACTTTGTGAAAACCACAACTCCCTGCTTTTCCTTTAATCCACGGGAGAAACATTTTAAGATGTGTTGGCTTATGGTGTGCATATTTAGAGCACCCGTTTACTGAAACACTCTGCTGTGAGTGGACCCGCACACCTCACGCCCGTGTTGCTCAAGGACCTACTGTCCCTATGGACACCCATGTGGAGGCCGCGCGGAGGGAGGGGACACAGGTTACCTTTGGCCTTCTGGTGCGGTCGCCCCTCAGGCTGCAGCTCGGAGGCCTCTCGTCCACGAAGACGAAGACGAGGCTCCTGGCTCTGTGGCCTCCCCTGTGTGTCGCAGGTGAGGCCGCTGAAGATCTCCTCCCGCACGGCTCACCTCCGTGGGAGCCAGGGGCGGGAGTGGCCGGGCCACCAGAGCCAGGCAGTAGAGGTGGCCCACGGCGGCAGCCACAGAAGCGGGGCCGAGACTAACACCCACTAGCTCTAAACCCCCAAAAGCCGTAAAGCCCCCCAAGTCGTAAACTCCCCCAAGTCGTAAACCCCTGCCGTAAACCCCACAGACGTAAACCCTACGCATATAAACCTGGCAGCCAGACGGAACCCCAGAATGCATTGAGGGCCTCGGACGCCAGTCCAGTCGGTGGAAGCTGCGGTCTGGAGCGGAGAGCGAGGTGGCCAGGCCCAGCGCTTGCTGCTGTCAGACCTGCCGCCTCCGCTCCCTCTGGGGCCTCTGACAGGACGTCGGCCCCTCAGGAGACAGCGCCCCCAAGGAGCCTCTGACAGGACGGCCTCCACAGAGGGTGAGTCTGCAGTTCTCTGAGCTTCTCAGAGCTGCTCGAGCTGGGGGCGCGGGCCTCGGGTGCGGGGTGTGCCGGCGACCCTCGGTCCTGGGCGTGAGGTCCCTCTCGACTGGGCTGGGGTTGCGGGGCGGGCCACCCGCCCTCTGGCCTGCAGGCCTCTGGGAGCCCTCGGCCTGGTCGCGCTTCTCCAAGGAACCTGGTGCGCGGGGGTCGGAGGTCTGGTCCTCCTGCGGCACTGTCGGGACCGGGGCCCGGACGACCATGCGTGGTGTTCCTGGTTTTCTTGTGTTGGGGTTTCGGTCGTGAAGGTTGTGTGCAAATGTGTGTGTATCCCGGGTCTCTCCTATATTTTTCCACTTAGAACATTTGCATGTGGAAATAGTCTTTGGTTTGAGATTACTGAGACATTTTCTGCTAGTTTTCTTATGATTTTATTTACCTCCTGCCTTGTTTCTCAACTCAGAATTAATTTCACTTAAAGTATGAATTATCCAAATTTAATATTTTTTCCCGTTCGCTCTACAGCAGTAGTTACTGGATTACCGATCCTTTCTCGCTGATGTGTCTGGGTCTCTGTGTTCAGTAAACTGTTGGGCTGGTTGTAATTCTGTGCTTTTTGGAAGAGGCGCCGCGCTGTTCCCCACAGTGGCCACACTAGTTTACATTCCTGCCACATCGTCAGGAACACATTATTTTACACTTTTCTCCTTAGGTTTTTAATATGTTTTTGTTGTTCTCGCTCTTTCAGTGGGTGTGAAGTGATGTATCATTGTGATTTTGAATTGCATTCCTCTCATGACCAGTTATACAGAGCATCTTTTCAGATGGCCATTTGTATAACTGTGGACTTCAATAAGCCCTTTTCCCA